CCCAAACAATGACAGGAGGGCCCACCCAAACAATGACAGGAGGGCCCACCCAAACAATGACAGGAGGGCCCACCCAAACAATTATCTACACCCGGTTGTTTATGGTTCCCCCGGATGTTCTTGCCCCTATCCTTGCAGCGTGTCCCCACAACACCCCGAATAACACAGAGCACCCCGAGTCCGCTCACTGCAGCAGAGGATATAGCCTGATGGGTTGCCATGGTTACTGCCCTCTGTCTCTCTCCTCTCCCCCCTTCTACCTCCCCACTCCCATTAAGTGAACAGCCGAGGCTGTCAGCGCTCCTCACCCTGCCTGATGTCCTCACAGGGCCCCTCGGACGGGCCGACCACCTCCTCTCCCTCCTCCAGCAACGCCGCCATTCTACTCTCTGCCATTCCCGCCGCGGCTCAGTTCAAATCTCCCCTTTCTTCACCCGCTCGCTGACGTCACCGGCATCCGCCGCGCTCATTGGCTGACGGCTACTTCCTGCAATAGAAAGAGATGGGCGGCGGCGCGGCTGGAATGTACGGTGAGAGCTCCACCGCCATCTGCTGGCCGGAGGCGACACTGCAGGCTGTGGTAGACACTACACTAATGTCTGTACAGAGTAATAAATAACCATTTAAAGTAAATCTAAGACAAAATTATGATATATTGCCTCTTTCCCCCTCTCCTGTCCCCTCTCCATTCCATAACATAGAGGGGTGTGATTGTGTGGTCCTCAGAGAACAATATTAGAAGCAGAGAGTGCAGGAAGTTATCAGTTCACAAGATTTCTGGCAGGATCAATAAATTGAATGACTTTATTTTTAGGGATTGCATACACTTTAAGGGCCCATTCACACCAGTTGCAGTGCGTTCTGGCCATTGCGGCCGGCTCACTTTTTAGTGGGGCACTATCTTGATCGCACCGGACCGGACCGCAGGCACAATGTGCCTTGCGATCCTGTGCGGGCGATCGCATTGCTGCCGGAGGGCGTGGCTATGGTGCCATTCACTTCAATGGCCGGGCACGCCCCCTCCTGCCCCACTAAAAAGTGAGCCGGCCGCAATGCAAGGCAGTGCATTTTGGCCAGAATTGGGCCGGAACGCACTGCAACATGTGTGAACGGGCCCTAAGGCCCACGCACATGAGATAGGCATCATTCTGCACACTGCAATCCACTGATGGCAGATGCAATGCTTTGCAGCTTTAAATACAGAAAATGAATGAAGGCGGACAGTGTGTGTGTGTGTGGAGGGGGGGAAAGGGGGGAGGGGTTTGTGATGTGACCCTGTTTTTAAATATGGGGGTAGCGTGGTCCAAAAGAATTCTCATAGATCTCTGTACAACCACTGACAAGTGAAGTACCAGAAAAATACCACCAGGGGGCGACCTCTACCTACTTTACTTCTCCATCTGGGCTGAGCAATAAGCTGAAACTAATGAGAGGGAAGAAACTTCATGGAGATTTGTACTATTGGGGGCTGCCATTGCCTCCCGCAGAAAATGCCATTTGACTGGCTGTCTCGGGTGTCAACATTTTCTGTGTTACCGGCCAATGTAACTACTACACACACATGCGCCAAGCCACATCCCAACTTCTTTCCTGACTGCCCCTTCTCTGTTTGGGGGATGTGATTAATCTCCTCTATCCAAGGATTTATTCGTCACCATGCATATTGTGTGACTATCGATTCTCTGCTTGAGAAGTAACCGGTCGGCATGTGCTCCTAAAACATGTCTGGCCACTACATAGCCGGCGGATCCCCAGCACAGCTAAGTGACCGCGGGACGAATAGCGGCATTATCAGCTGTGACAACCAGGAGGCCGACGCGGGTCATTGTGTCCCCCTGTTCAGTGTCAGAAAATGTAAATCTGTCTGAGAGGAAAGTACTTCAGGCAAAAATAAAAACCTCCATTTAGTCCGATAGAGAGAGACTGCCCCACTAAAAAGGAGAGGGAGAGAGATGGAGAGAGAGAGGGGGGGAGGGGGAGACAGAGGGAGGGGGAGAGACAGAGGGAGAGAGCGGGGGAGGGGGAGACAGAGGGAGGGGGAGAGACAGAGGGAGGGGGGAGCGAGAGAGACAGAGGGAGGGGGGAAAGGGAGATGGGGAGAGGAGAGAGAGAGGGAGGGATAGGGAGAGAGATGGAGAGAGAGGGGCAGGGGGAGAAAGAGAGATGGAGAGAGAGAGGGGGGGAGACAGAGATAGATAGATAGATAGATAGATAGATAGATAGATAGATAGATAGATAGATAGATAGATAGATAGATAGATAGATTTATTTGGAAATACTCTCCTTGTACATAGGAATCTTTTTCTAAAAATAAATCCTAGTTATTCACATGGGGAGGTTGCAGGTACATTCGTTGTGTGCGAATTAACCAGTTGTTGTGAGAATGAAGGAAACTCTAATGTTCTTCTATTTTCTCTTCTGGTCGAATGTTCTTCAGTTATTATGGACAGCAGTAAATGGGGAAATGCCTGGCTATGGCCACTAGATGGAGCCGATGCTCATAGGAAATAAATACATCTTAATAAGGAGAACGATGTAACAATTGTAGAGAACATCGGAGGGAATTAGTAAATAGGAATCACTGTAGTAGCAATGGTTACATTTATCTGCTAATTCCCTCCAGATATCATTACATTGTATCCCTTGTCACTAAGATGTATATATTTCCTGTGCTCATTATCTAGTGGCCATAAAGTAGTATTGCACGATGACATTTGAAAATACGTTTATCTTATAAAGTCTACCAAGAACATTCATTTTGTACATCCATTCGCACAGAACGAACATTCGCAGAGATTCACAAGGCCATTGGCTCTGACAATTGTTTATAGATAGACCGCTTAGAATTGATTTTATTTAGATCCACGCAGTGTCCTAATGCACAGCACTGGGATCTACAATTCAAGTACTGATTAGGACGCTATCTGCATGGAGTTTGCATGTTCTCCCTGTGCTTGGATTGGTTTCCTTCCATACTCCAAAGACACGCTGGAAAGTCAATTGGCTCTTGTCTATGAAAAAATAAATAAATTGGTCCCAGTATGATATTCTACTGAGCGCGCACAACATGGCTGCCTCACCATCTGCCCCAACAACACTTTGACTCCCCCCGGGGGAAAGTCGAAATATATAATGAACTTTTCTCCCTGCAGTTGTCTTCATTTCTGACACATGTTTATAACAAGATGTTCATTTTTACGCTTTATGGTTCCAGTTACACATGATGGTGAACGAAGGCGCCAGCCAGCGATCTCAATCCAAGACGTGACGTTAATTTCATTAATTGCGACCGGCGATCAGAAGCGGCGGTGACCCTCCCCGTCATCAGGCAGCAGTCTGTTTGGATTGCCGCTCTCATTTGCAGCACTGGATGTACAGCACTTTATGTTCTATGCTTTAATTAGAGAACATCATTAAAAGTGACGACAGCTCTGCATTCATCGCTGAAAACAAATCAAAAAATATAATCCCGTTTCTCAATTAGAGATGTGCGGAAACGCCGAGATTGTTGGTGCTGTACAGTTTGTACACATCTATATATACACATAGTACTGGAGTGTGAAGGGGTTAAAACCCATATCTGGTTTTTCCCTCCGCATCCTCTTGGTAGATTCACCTTCTGCATTTGTCCTGGTGACCACTGTTATCAGGACAGGAAGTAACAGTGTATTAGGGTGTTTCCTCCTGCCCCGTTACAGTTCCTCCCACTATTTAGGGTTCCCCTCAACCTTTAAAGGGTTCCTCCCATCCCTTTAGGATTCTTTCTGCCCCTTTAGGGTTCCTCTCACTTCTTTAGGGTTCCCTCCATCCCTTTAAGGTTTCTTCCACTCCTTTAGGGTTCTTCCCACCCTTAAGAGTTCCTCCTGCCCCTATAGCTTTCCTCTAACCAATTTAAGGTTCCTCCTGCCCCTTTACAGTTCGTCGCCCCCCCCCCTGTTGGAGTGTACAACATTTTCATGTACGAAAGCTGCCAAACAGATATCTTCAAATCTTGATTGCATTGCTCATCAAAGAGACCAACTGTGTGTTGTTCATGCCTGGGGCATGGCGGGGGAGATGAGAAAGGTGACATTCATTCATCGGGACGAGACATCAAGCTTTGCACCCTGTGGTGTTGATAAGGGTGTAGGCACATTGGGAAGACATGTCAAGATATCCGGATTTTGCATATGAATGTGACTGGCCATTGTCTAAAGATCAAAGGACAAGGTGTTGACCTAGGCCAAGGACTGATCTGCAGTACGATGGTGCCCCCTGCTGGAGGACTACAGTGCATGTGGACAAATGTGAAGGACCATGCCGATTGGCCGAAAGACATTTAAGGGACATGCGGAATTCTGGGTAAAGGGGGTGTCGATGTATGTGTATGAATGGGATAAAAGTCCGTGCGCGGCAATATTGCTCTCTCTTTGAGCCCAGCCAGGATATAGGAACCAGAGGACGGACTTGCTGTGTAAAGTATTCTCTTGATTGTCTTATTGTATCTGTTTGTATCTTTTATTATGTTTGATTAGATTTGTGTATAAATAAATAAGACCATTGCTTCTTTTAACCATTGTATCGTTATCATCATTGGAAGCAGAGAATAGCAAGTTAGCTTATTTCAGGAAGCCAAGGCAATTTAGATATTACACCCCCCCCTTTAGGGTACTCCTCAACTTTTTAGGGTTCCTCACATCCCTTTATGATTCTTTCTGCCCCTTTAGGGTTCCTCACACCCCTTTAGCGTTCCTACCATCCCTTTAAGGTTCCTTTCACCCCTTTAGGGTTATTCCCACCCTTAAGGGTTCCTCTTGCCCCTATAGGGTTCCTCCAACCAATTTAAGGTTCCTCCTGCCCCTTTACAGTTTGTCCCCCCTTAGGGTTCTCTTCAACCATTTAGGGCTCCTCACATCCCTTAATAATTAATTCTGCTCCTTTAGGGTTCCTCCCATCCCTTTAAGGTTCTCTCCACCCTTTTGGGATTCCTCCCACCCTTAAGGTTTCCTCCTGCCCCTATAGGGTTCCTCCCACTAATTTAAGGTTCCTCCTGCTACTTTACAGTTCGTCCCACCCTTTAGGGTTCTCCTCAACTTTTTAGGGTTCCTCACAACCCTTTATGATTCTTTCTGCCCCTTTAGGGTTCCTCCCACCCCTTTAGGGTTCCTCCCATCCCTTTAAGGTATCCTTCAGCCCTTAAGGGTTCTTCCTGCCCCTATAGGGTTTCTCCCACCAATTTAAGGTTCCTCCTGCCCCTTTACAGTTCATCCCACCCTTTAGGGTTCCCCTCAACTTTTTAGGGTTCCTTCCAGCCCTTTAGGATTCCTTCTGCCCCTTTAGGGTTCCTCCCACCCCTTTAGGGTTCCTCCCATCCCTTTAAGGTGTCCTCCAGCCCTTTAGGG